TCATTCCCTCTCAACAGTATGCATTAGAGCTGTTTTTTTTTTTTTAAGAAGAAAATGTCCATAATCCAACACATCCTAAAAAGAGAGTGGATGAAAAGCTTGTGTCCTAAGCCGGGCGGTGGTGGCGCACGCCTTTAATCCCAGCACTCGGGAGGCAGACGCAGGCGGATCTCTGTGAGTTCGAGGCCAGCCTGGGCTACCAAGTGAGTTCCAGGAAAAGGTGCAAAGCTACACAGAGAAACCCTGTCTCGAAAAACCAAAAAAAAAAAAAAAAAGAAAGAAAGAAAGAAAAGAAAAGCTTGTGTCCTTAGGGGAGAGGGAATCTGTTTATTGCTTCACCAACTTGAAATGTAAATCCAAAAATGCCATTCTATCAAATAGGTCAAAGTTCTCTGGAGATAAAGCTAAATACACTTTGGAAGACTTGCGTTTGCAGTACCTCTGACCATCAATTCTATGGCCAAATTTGAATAGAGGAAGCCTAATTTTGCAAGGTATAAACATCTTCGACTGAATACTGTAGCAAAACACAGGTTTGTGTTTGCTTTATCAGATCTTGGGGGTTGTGTATGAAGAGAGACTGCCACCACCGTGCTAGCCGGCCACCCTCTTCTCTGAGCCAGTTGGATGGGCTAGTATCATATTGCGGTGCAACCCAGTGGAACTCACTTTCTGCCCAGATCCTTGGGCAAGTGGTGTGTACAGGATGGGGAGAAAAATCATAAGAGATTTCTCACTAGTTTGGAGAAATTAGAAATCAGAGTTCTCTCCAGAAAGTGCTGGGCTTTAGAAGGATCCTGTCTTCCCTCAGCGCTGATGACTCATTTTTTCGCCCAACCCAGTGTTTCAGGTAGCTTCTTCATCTCAGCGATGGGAAGATAAGATGACCCATGTCTCTTTGACCCACACTTGTCCTTTGAATCCAGAACCAAAGGACATCTGAAGATAAGGGACTTGGTGTAATATTTAGTGCACAAAAGCCACGCAAACGTGGAAATGGGCTAAACTGTCGCTAACAAATGAGTTCCTCTGCAGTGTCCAGAGAAGCTGAACCTGGGAGAGAGAGGAGGGTGGTTTTCTGTGTGAGGGCCATGAAGGGATGAGGTGTGTGTCTTGTTCCCTGAGCAGGCTTGGGGCTCTAGTCCCTGTATGTAGCTGGCACAGGTGTGCTGCTCCAAGGGAGGAGAAGCAGCTGGAGTAGCTGCTCTAATCCCTGGGAGACGCTTGAGAAGACCCATTCTCATCCAGCTTTGACATCTCTGGTCAAAACTGATCAACACTGGCCAAGGTCTGAGTCTACCCATCATTGTCTTGGCTCTGGTCTGTCCTCCAACGTGGTCTAATAAGATACTTTCTTCTCCAAATGGAGCAAGATTTTCAGCCTTGCCCTTACCCAGCATGGGATTCCTGGGAATTATAATTATTTGTGGTTTATTGTTCCAGTAGTCTGATAGCACGAGTGTCTCTGTTTAAAATTTCTCCTCTCCTGCCTGGATAGTCCAAGAAGATGACAGAAACCCTCTACCCCCCTTTGAATGAAAGCTCAGCTGAGGACATGTTTGGGTCTATAATGTAGGTAAAATTATAGACTCTAGAGCCAACACCTCTCCTTACCACTTCTCTGCCTTGGACAAATGCCTTAGCTTCTCTGTGTCTCAGTGAATCTGGTAGTCTGGACTCCATAGTACCTCTCTGACCTCTATATGAATGTGTGCCCCCCCACAAGAATAAAATAATACAATATAATTTTTAAAAATTAACTATAAAAAAGAACTTCTGTGTTTTTCAGGTTGTCATTGGCCCTTCCTAGATGGCATTCTGGAAGGTTCTATCAGCTGAATTATCATACAGTAGTATATGTACTTAAAATTAAATTTGAGTGTCCTAAGAGTGAACTGTTCAGTTATATAATTTGCAGTTATCAAATCATTTCTTAAATGTCCCTTTATGCTTCCAGCAAGTACTGATTAAGTACATAGAATGATTTTGATGGTTCTGGACCCTGGGAACTTAGCACAAATCAGGTCCTGGACCCCCGATGTCATGATCTGATGAGGAGGACAAATCTTAACCAGTAAAGGAATAGGCAGTCATCTCAAGTGCTATGGAGAAAATGTAACAGGAGGCTATGAGAGAGAAGAGGGGACCATAGACGGGGAAGCCAGGAAAAGTGTGTGGGTCTGGAGGAGATGATACTTGTTTGGTGTGGTCTAAATGACAGAAGAGAGTTCCAATTCCACTGCTGGGGGGAGGAGAAAAGACCCCATCCCAGACTGAGGGGGGCAGACTTGAAAGGGAGCACAGACGCCTAGTATGTGGGGATGGAAAAAGGAAGGTATTGTACATGGCTGGGTCACCAGTGGCCTGGGTGACAGGTCCAGCAAAGCCACTGTTTCTCCCCTGTAGCTCCTGGGGGAGGGCGGGCACCCATCAACTCAAGGTTACGGTTGGCGGTGGAGTTAAGATTTAAGCTTCAAGTTCACACATTTCTGCTTTGGCTTTGGCTTGTCCACCAGTTTGGGAAAGCGCCTGTATCTTATTTTGACTTGGCAGAGACACGAGAGTAATAGAGGGTCAGCATATGAGCAATCTTGTTTTCCCTTTGCTTATATAGTTTTTTTTTTCTTTTCTTTTTGAGGTGCCAGAGACTGAACCTAGAGCCTTCCTTGTGTATCCTAGGCAAGCACTCTCCCATGGGCTCCCTCGCCATACTTCATTTCATTAAGTTTTCAGTTTAACACCAAACTTGCTAAGAGACAGCCCTTGCCAGGCAGTGCATGCTGTGAGTGTAGAAGCTTGAATGAGAACGGTTCTTTCCTCAGCTTCCTGTAGCCCAGGAGCAGGGACCTTCTGCACAAAGACCCCACCATGTGATGGTGGCGGGCCAACATAAATGAAAGGTTGTACAAACACAGAGGAGAACAAATGATGCTGCCCAGAGAGGTAAAGAAAATAGACTTAGGGTTGGAGATTTAGCTCAGTGGTAGAGCACTTGCCTAGCAAGCGCAAGGCCCTGGGATCGATCCTCAGCTCCAAAAAAAACAGAAAAAGAGAATAGACTTCTTCACCTCAAAGAATAAGATTGGGCAAGTGGAGATGTGAGGGAAGATAAAGGTGGAAAACATACACATACACACACACACACACACACACACACACACACACACACACGCATCTAGGGATAGGAAATAGTGATGGAGATTGGGCCTCATTCTGAAAGGATTCAATCACAACTTCAGGAAGTTTTGTTTTGTATTGAATGAGGAACAAACACTACAGTTCCTTTGACAACGAGCTGGCATAGTGGATTGGTACTTCTTATTGCTCCTGATGGTGTGGCACATAAGTTTGATAGACAGGGACCCCAATGAGCTCAATTTGTTTGTAGGATAGATGAACAGTCAGTTGTAGAAAACATGGCAAATGGTAAGCAAGCTACATAAATGTGAAATCACAGAAGGAGATGGAAGATTCGGGTCAGATATGTCTTCCTCATGAAGACAGTGACTTTTGACATTGATCTTGCTAATAAAAACATAGATGTGAAATAAAGGAAGAGTGTTGCAGTAATTAAGCACAGGCCCCCTGACTGCAAGAATGTTCAGGAGTGCATATGCTAGTTAACAAATAGTCTGCTAAAGTGATGCTGACACAAGCTGATGAAGAAAAATGATTGGAGGCAAGCATATTTTAGAAGTCCATGAAATAAGAAAGTATAAAGGCAGGTTAGGATGGAGGGACCTCTATGCAGTTGTGGATATGCTTTTTATGAGGTGTGTGGTCATGGTGGAAATTCCCTTGTGTGGGTGGAATGTTTCTTTCCAGCCTGTCTGTTTCCAAATACCCAGCAGCTGCTTCCCAAATAACTGACTCTGAGGCTTAATGTTACTTACAAATGCTCAGCCCATAGCTCAGGCTTATTACTAACTAGCTCTTCCACTTAAATTAACCCATAATTCATATCTATGTTTAGCCACATGTCTTGGTATCTTTTCTCAATATGGCATTCTCATCTTGCTTCCTCTGCATCTGGCTGGTGACTCCTGACTCTGCCCTTCATCTTCCCAGCATTCTTAGTTTGGTCGCCCCACCTATACTTCCTGCCTAGCTACTGGTCAATCAGTGTTTTATTAAACCAATTCAAGGAACAAATCATTACAGTGTACAAGAGAAATATTCCACAGCACCCTTGGGTGTTTAGAAATCCAGGTGAAGAGGCTGAAGAGATAACTCAGTATTTTAAGAGCACAGATTTCTCTTCCATAAGACCCAGGTTCAATATCCAACACCCACATGGCAGTTCAGAACTGTCTGTAACTCTAATTTCAGGCGATCCAATGCTGTCTTCTGGCCTCTGTAGGAACCAGGCATGCACATGGTGCACAGACATGCATACAGACAAAACACTCATACATAAAAAATCAATAAAAAATAGTTATATAAAAATCCAAGTGATGAAAGTTAGTTCGAAGGCACTGGTAGGTAGGAGCTGGTAAGATGATGATGATAATGACCTTGTTGGGGGTTGGGGGTGTTTGTTTTATCTTATTTTGTTTTTCTTATAGCCAAAGATGACTTTGAACTCCCCATTCCCCTGTCTCTGCCGCTCAGGCACTGGGATTATAGCTGTGTGCCACCAGGCCTATTCTGAAGATGATAAAATAGTGATTATTGTATTTGTGTTCCATACCTACAGGCTAGAGATAACCAAATCCATTTAACACACGTCTCCCTCTGCATAATGTGGGTTAGAATGTGAGCCTTGAGCACGGTGATGATTTTTCTTCATTATTCTATGAGCCTCCGTAGTAAAACCAAGATCATTTTCATAAGAATCCTATCTACTTTCCAACATGGCACATGTCACAGTATTCTGTTACAGCGCAATTTAACAGTAACTGGGTTGGTGATACTCAGAACTGCCTTCTACACCTTACTCATGTCACCAAACGCAGAATATGCTTATGCCCGAGGCTCACAGTTTCTGCTTCTTACTTCAGGTTTCATCGTCCATAAGGAAGTGTGGGACTGCTCAGAAATATAGACTGACCATCCCCGGCAGAAGCCCTGCTTCCTGAGACCCCGATATTGCACTGAGATTTGAACGTGTATGTTTCCATTTCATTGCGGTGAAGGAGGCGCGTGACTCGGCTTTGGTTGAGACTGCTCCTCACCCGGACAGCCCAGACGAGGCCAACACGCTGAGAGCCGGACGCAGCAAGCCTGGCTGCCCAGGATGTGCACTAATGTAAGGGACACTCTGGCTCTCTCAGCTGTTCTTCGTCAGAAATTTCAATCAAAGAAGACAAGCAGAAGACAATCGCTGGTTTGACTGCCAGAAAGCCAAATGGTATAGTACGTGTGGGTTGACCAACAGGAGACATTGGTATTGCTGGTGGTCATCCCAACAGCATGGGAGCTAAAAATGAGGAGGAGGACAGTTCCGTTATGTTAATGAAGAAAAAGAAGAATGAAGATAAGTATATTTTTGAAGTAGGCATTTGGTAGCTGAGAACTTACTAAGGGGTTTGGGAACCTACTCAACCAATGTGGATTCCTTAAAGACTTGATTCCAGAACATTCTTGTTTCACCAATAAGTTGGTTTTGTGTAATACCATATTTTTTATGTTGTGCCAGTGAACCCAGTTGCCAGAAACAAATCTGAGTGTGCATTAAATGCAAGAAGCCTCTACCCACTCTTACCAAGCATGCTTGCTTGCATTGTGTTGCATGCTTTCTGTAGCCCAGCTATCCACACGACCTTTTCTTACACTGCTTTCCTAATGGATGAGCCCTCTACAAGGCTAACAGAAGTAAGGTCAGATATAAAGTGACCCCACAAAACTGTTGGAAGCTTTAGAAATAAATCTCCTGTCTTAGTTATCTCCAAAGTCAGGAAACCATTCATTATCTAAAGAAGATTATATGGACAATCATGACACCCTTTTTAAAAACTCAATCCAGAATTGCAGCGTAAGCAACATACAAGTGTGTGCTGCTTGCTCCAAGTGCTGAAGGGGAATTAAAAAAAAAATACCCAGTAGTTTTGAGTGCTACGTTAAAAATTTGTAAAAAGTTAGGTTGCTGCTATTTAAAAAAAAAAAATCAAGCACATAGATTTAGCAAAAATACCCTAAGGCTTAAAGGAAGACAGAAAATTGCTGGTTTATGTAAAGGAAACCTTACCGTCTATGCTGATTCTGTGGATCACATCCATACATACAATCTGTACTCCCCGTGCCAGAAAAGCAGTGAGATACAGTTCAGGCCAGTTTCTCCAAGAGCCTGTAATCAGTCTTGTTTACATTAAGAAGCTCCCTCCCTCAAATTGCTTTTCTCTGTGGTATCAGGCTCCAGCACAGAACCCCAGAAGGGCTCACTTGTGAATACTACCTTAAATTTCATTTCCCTTAACAATTGTTTTGGGCCTCTTGGATTAAAAGCATACGATATTATTTTTTAAAAAGAGAAGGCAGAATCTGTATCAAGTCTATCGTATTCTCTGATCTGAAACTCTGACTGTTCTGCTTCAGGATGTGGAAGCCTGTAATTTTCTATCCCAACTGAGAAGTCAGCATTTAATCAGTGGAATAAGTGTAGGTCCCACCACTCTGTGGTATTTGGAAGAACCACTTGAAATTTGATGATTTCATTTCAAAGTAAAAGTGGTTAGCTGCAGTTGACCTATTATAAAGAGCCAGGAGGAGCATTACGTGAGGTAACCAGCATTATTGTACCCTTCACTACGCTTAGCTGTTCGCATTAATAAAACAAGGCTACAATCTACACGAGTTCATTTCACTAATGGCGGAAGACAGACTTTGCTTTTGAAGTAATGTCTGTGCGTGCCCTGGTGTTTGTCTTCGGCTGAGGGCTTGTTTGTTTTGTTGTTATTTTGCAGTGCTGGGATTGAACTGGGGCCTTGTGGGTGTCCTGCACACTTTCTAGAACCCCTGAGCTGTGCTCCCAGCCTTTGTTTGCTTTAGTGTCTCAATTCAGCCATGAAAATTAACTCCTTTCTCATTACTTGCAAAGTAGTTTTCCTTTAGGATACCTTATTAACATCTCAGTGTCATGAGAAAAATGCCAAGGCAGATAATGTTTCTTAATCTATGCTTATCATCTTGGAGCATTTTAAAACTTCTAATTGCACGTTCTCTGTACATTGTAAGTGCAAGACATGCGCACCAGTTTGTCACTCAAAGCGTATACCGTAGGAAGGTTCTATTTGGTTGTTTAAAAGAACAATCTCCCTCCCCACCCCACCCCCGCCGCCCCATAGTGGTCTGAATTATACAATTTCTACTTTCCACAATGATATTTGTCCACTGCAACACAAGCCTCATGCTGAAGCCCCCAGTTCAATCCCCAGTTCCGCACAAATGAAAACCTGTCTCCTGATATGGTCTGTCATATTTATGAACCACATATACCTCTCCTTCATACTGACTGATACATTTAGAGGAAAATTTGTAAGTCAGAAGTTTGAAAAGGTAAAAATTAACTACCAGTAGTCTAATATTTAAATAATTAGAACCACCCATTACTTCATTACAATGATCTATTAATTTTTTTTAAAAGCCATGGAAAGAATTAGAATATCGTGAGCCAAGTAGTTCTCAGAAAAAAGCTCTATTTCATGGTTCATTTTCAAAGGCAGGGAAACGTAAAGGGGGCATAGCCTCACTAGCAGCCCATCCTGGCATCCCCACAGAAGGCAAAGGCATGTCTCCCTGCAATTACTCCTCTGCCCACTGCCAGCATTTCTGCAGCCCAACCACCAAGCCACTATTCTCTAAGAAAATAAATGTGTGCAGAAATTGGAGTTATAGTTTGGTGCAGTTGTAACACAATTCCAGTTTTTCACTAAAGCATACCATTAGGCTGATGGAGAAAATGAGTGAGGTTTTTCCAGCTCCTGAGATATGATGAAGAAAGAAAATTAGCCATCTCATGGAAGGTCCCAGACAGGAAAGAACAAGACCAAATAGAAAATATCAACTGGCCATTTCCATCTTGACTTTTAATGGAGGAGCAAAACCCTGTTGATATTACAGTAATGAGAAAACACTAATTCCCCTTCATTCAGCAGCCTCATGGCCACGACCAACCAACATGACAAAAAACGGTCCTCGAATCAGCATTCACTTGGGACGTCTTGACTGGTGACTTCCTATACGTGTGAAATGTGTTTTTGTGTTCGCTGTAATTTACCTTTATGCTTATTCCTTAAATCATTTAACTAGAGTCTACAACATTCAGAGACCCATTTTGGGTATTTGAACAACTATTAATTAAAAAGGAAAAGGCAAACTGACTGGGTTCTCAGAGTTACCCAGAAAAGCTGCCACTCTGGTTTCTTTTTCCCACCCTTATTAGTGGAACGAAGGCAGGCACTTCTCTGTCTCTGGTGTCACGAGAAAGTTCTGAGATTTAATTGAAAATAGAAGAATCTAATATGCTCTTCAAAAGTCACCAAATATGGAAAATGAGTTGTGAGCCCTTAGGAACTCTGTCAGAGTTTGTATCCCGCGATTAATTCGGTGATGCGCTGGCGCTTAAAAAAAAAAAAAAAATACGGTAGTTTGGACTTGAGAGGGAAAGAAATGTGGGTTAGCACCACATGTCCTGATACACCCCACACCAACACATGACAGACAAACCTGCCAAGACTAAGCTGTAGTCACAATAGGAAGAGGCGAGTCTACCACATAGTAATATGTCTGCGTTTGAACAGTAAAATACTTTCTTTTCCTTCGTCTCTTGCTCAAAAAGTCCATCCTGTGTTGTTCATGCATGGTCCTTGCAGCATAATTTAGAGTAATAAACTTTCTTTAGTGTGGGTGAAACAGACTTAATCTAATATGGGACATATGGGTTTATGTCATTTTCATCAATGTGGAGAATTTGTTTATGCATTCCGAACTATTCACTTATCATTACTAGTAAAAGAAGCTGTACTTAGAGATCATTATTCGTTCCCTCACATCCTTAGAGTATACAAATTGTCCCCTCACCCCTTAAAATGATGAATCTCTTGTTAGGATTTGCTGTCTACTTACTGGTGATTTGTTTTCTTTAACAAAGCGGAATGAACCTTTAGAAGATAGACTCTAGAGGGGACAAGGGCGGCAAAAATAAGCAGTTGTCAAACGAATGGGGACAGCTTCCTGAGAGAACGTGCATTCATTCCTCAGCAACTCAAACCCGAGTTCCGGAGAGGGGCTCTGGGTGCCACTGCAAAGGCAAGCAATGACCAAAGGGTGGTGGGGGTGAAGGTAGGAAACCCCACACCGTCCTCACTTTTGCTTCCTATCGTACCTTTTCTAGTTGCTACGCTTCAACACTGTTTCCATGCTGGAACTGCTATTAGCATTTCTAGAAAGCAACTGTCATATAGACCAACTATTTTTTTCTTTTTGGTATGATCGTATTTTGTTGTGTGTGTTGTTGTTGTTTGTTTGTTTGCTGTGGACAGCTTCATCCCAAATGAACAAATCTCATTTTACATATTATAAGGTTTTTTTGGCAACGAAATGGAGAATCCTGTGGCTGCTATTCTTCCCTAACGCCAAGTTTTAGCCATGCTGGGTTTTATTGCAGGAAAATGCCATTTAGCTTGTTGCTTCTCTACCACAGCTGCGTATGAACAAAGAACTGTTGATAGATGCCTCCCAGTGGGGGTGCTGTTGGCATTTGGATCTGGGCAATTCTTTGTTGTGCTGAAATGTACCACATGTTGCAAGATGTTCAGTATCCCAGGCTCCTAGTGACTCAACACCAGGACCAGGATCGTTCACAGACATTGTAAAAACCAAAAAAAAAAAAAAAAGCGCCTTCTCCTCACATATCTGTATACCCTCACAGAAGGGTACACCCCCTCACCTGAATACCACTGTCTACTGCAACACATAGGGGAAAGTGCCTATCCCCAAATACCATCTCTACTGCCTTGCATGTCTCTGACCCACTTCAAGCCTTCTCCTTGGATGCAGCTTAAATTGCTGTTCTCTAGGAAAGAGGGCTGCCAGGCAGCCTTGTCCGTTACAGTGGGCAGAGTGACGTGGTCTGATGCTTGTCTGTACTTCCGGAGGGCTTATGCGTGAAGCAAACTTTTGTTCACCCCTTCACGGTTCCACTTCAGAACTAGACTGCCCGGTCACAGGAGCACAGTGGCTCTGAACGAACCAGATAGTCTTTGGAAGTCAACATTAGATTCCACCTGGTAACGCGCTGTATGCCGAGGTGTGCAAGAGTCCCCTCTTCCCTTCTGGAGACAACACAGTTAATTCACATGGAAATGCTTGGAGTCCCCTGTGTAAACATATCCATATGGTTCAGCTTTCCTAATAAGATGTGCAAATATGACATTGTGGCAGAAAATGTAGGTTAACTGGATTGCATGCATATTGTTCACACCACAGAACCAAGGATATGCAAAACAAAGTGAGTTTTCCCCCAGGTGCAGCTCAATCAACCTGTGCTAACCATACAGAAACATACTCTTTATGCCACTGAAATTGAGTAGTCAATATGTCTTGAAAAATATTTAGATGAATTGCAGCCAGCTGCAAGGATGGAATTAATTCTTCCCACTCTAATATTTTTAATATTAAAATTCTAAAGACACTGTTTTTTGAACCAGAACAGCTCAAAGTCAATAAAGATGGTTATAGCGTAAACCTATAGATGGTGCTTAAAAATTCTTACCTTTCGTAATATCAGTATTTTTTTTGAAAAAGAGAATAAATTGAAGGAGTAAATGAGTCAGGATGCCACTCCACCCTCGGGTCAATGTTGAGGTTTATTAAAATGCCAATAATATTTGTGCCACTTGCCAGCTTGGGGGGCTTTTCCCTTAATGGATGCTCTTGATTTGATTGTTGACTGTATCACTAAATTGCTTAGATGGCATCCACCATGAGAGATTGCCACTGTAGTGCTAACTAGCATTTGAGAAGAATTAGCAAGAGCTGAGGGTCAGTCCACTTTCATCACTTACACTATAGGCACTAATTCTTTAGTACTTCTTCTATGGCTTAGACACGTGCCAATGTATTCAAAGCATCCTGCACAGATTTCGCCAGTTAAATACCTGCTGAAAATTCAAACCAGTCTCTCTTTTTTTTCCCCTAAGTAACAGTGGTTTTTCCCCACAATGAACTGTCTGTGTTCTTTTGCTATTTCGTGCTTTGGTTAAAGTGTTAGTGATGGTAAACTGTGATCCTTTCCAGACTAGCTGGGTGAGTCTCCAGTGCGTGATCCAGTCTTTACACAGCTTTGCTTTCTGTGGGTGTTAATAACTGGAACTGCACCCAGATAAACGCGACAGTTTTTCCTTTTGGTTGTTCTTAATCCCTACTCTGTGGGTATGATAATTGCAAGTATACACACCGAAACATGTATTCCACGATTGTAACCTGAAAAGACCATGTATTACTTTTTTTTATTCCATATTGGTGTTTGTGTTATTTAAAGTGGAAAATTATACTCTGTCTAGTAGTATAATATAGGATACTTCGCTGTGCACAATTCCAAGTGCCTTAGAGTGTTGTTTAGCTTTCCTAAGTGTATGTATATGCATATATGTGTGTGTAAATTGTGAAACGTTACCTCAATAAAATCATTGAGAAATCCTAGTGTCTGTCTGTTACCATTCGTCTCATTTTCAGGTAGTTTTTGGTCTTTTTATTTTAGATTTCTTTATTCATTTGTTGTATTTCTGAGACAAGGTCTCCCAGGCTGGCCTCTAACTCAAATATACAGTCGAGAATGACCTTGATCTCCTCTGTCTCCACCTCCCAAGTGCTAAATTACAGACATGTGCCGCCCACGCATCATGCATAGTCTTTTTTTTTTTTTTGCATAGTCTTTTTAAATTAAAAGTTCATGGAGCTGGAACGTGGTGGCATATGCCTTTAATCCCAGCACTTGGGAGGCAGAGGCAGGTGGATCTCTGTGAGTTTGAGACCAGCCTGGTCTACAGAGCGAGATCCAGGACAGCCAAGGCTACACAGAGAAACCCTGTCTCAAAACACGAAAACAAAAAAAGTTCATGGAGGTCTCGTGTAAAGCAAGATTGAGATACATTTTATAATTCCCTAGTATTTCAACCCCACCTAACTTTTAATGTATTTTGTATGTGAGACCTAGTGATTCATACTTTTAATTTTAAAAACCTACCTAAAGAATTGTTGCTTTTTTTTTAAGATGGTGTGTGTGTGTGTGTGTGTGTGTGTGTGTGTGTGTGTGTGTGTGTGTTAGGATTTGCTAGAGGAACAGAACTAATAGAATGAGTCTACATTAAAAGGGGATTTATTAGAGTGGCTTACAGGCTGTGGTCCAGCTAATGCAACAATGGTTGTCTCCCAATGGAAAGGTCAAGAATCTGGTAGTTATTCAGTCCACGAGGCCAGTGTCTTCTGCTGGTCTTTGGTCTGTGTTGGAGGCCTGAAGAGGTGTGTTCTAATCCCAACAAAGGAATGCTTCATCAATAGGCTAGATGAACTTGTCAGTGGGAGTGGAGCAGGCAGGCAAAGAGCAGAAGTTTCTTCTCTGGGTCCTTTTACATAGGCTGACACTAGAAGGTATAATTCCAGATTTAGGACAGGTCTTCCTACCTCAAATGATTCAATCAAGAGAACTCTCTCACAAGTGTGCCAAGATCAAGTTGATAATCAAGATCAGTCATCAGGAGTCTGCCCCTTGTCAAGTTAACACTATCATATCTGCTTATGTCATCCTTCATTTCCAACTCCAAACAATAACCATGTCCTAATAGTGGGTAATATAACTATCCAACAGACAAGCACAAATGCATTATATATTTTAGAATGGGTGGCAATGTCCCTTGAGGGACATTCTTTTTTTTTTTTTTTTTTTTTTTGGTTTTTCGAGACAGGGTTTCTCTGTGTAGCTTTGCACCTTTCCTGGTACTCGCTTTGGAGACCAGGCTGGCCTCGAACTCACAGAGATCCGCCTGCCTCTGCCTCCCGAGTGCTGGGATTAAAGGCGTGCGCCACCACCGCCCGGCTGAGGGACATTCTTGTAGTGTCTCATCACTTAAATATGATAACCACTGCTATTATCTCAATTCATGTTATGTTACATGATGAAGACAGAAGGGAAAACACAAGTATCTACTTAATATGTGTCTATGTATGCACAAACACATTCTTAACAAGATATGACAGAAGCATTGGTGTTTCAGTTATAATCTTTATTTCTGCAACTGCTCATGTGGCCTTAGCTGGTCATTACAACTTTTACAGCCCATTCTGTATTTCTTACACCCCCAGTAAACACCTCAGCAGTTCTTGGTTCTTTTCCTGAAGGACTGACTCATATCTTCATTCCTGAAGGTCTTGATTCTTCATCATCCTGCTTGCATTGGGTTGATGTAGTTTCCCATTGACTTTATTCACAGGACATGGGAACACCAAGACACTCCCTAAAGGATCTCCTGCATTTCAGACATAGTCTTCCTTACCTCTGTTGTAGAGAAGCAATTGAATTTCCTCTTGCTAGTCTGGTGCAGGTACCCAAAAAGGCCAGGAAAAAAAGTGTCATATTCCCCAGATCTGGAGTTATAAGTTGTATGACATTGGTACTGAGAAGCGAACTCGGGTCCTCTGGAAGAGCAGTACACGCCCTCAGCCACTGAGCTGTCTGTACCCCAAGAATGGTTGCTTTGCATAGTAAATCACAGTATATATATTTTTAATTTTTCTATCTTTTTATGTCAGTGAATATTTGATAATATTTTTCTGACATAAAATAAAAGCATAAGATAGACGCTTTTTTTCTAGGAAAATTTAAATTTTTAATTTTAATTTTTTTATTTTTCAGACAAATTTTATTATTAAAAACACAAGTAAGCACAAACAATACATTATTTTCTATTATGTGCATGTCATGTATTTTTTTCTTTTTTCCTTATTAAGAAATTTTCTACTCCATCCACATACTATCCACAGATTCCCCCCTCCTCCCTCCTCCCACCCCCCATAGACAGACTCTTATAATTAATAAATGAGGAAACAGTCTCCCTCATTTTAACTCTTTAATTCACTGTAAGCAAGAAAAGAAGCTGGAAGCATATTATACCTAGAAATGGTATTAGAACATGCCTTCATGTTCCTCAACAGGGCTAAACAAATATAGCTTTGCCTCTTTCAGCTCCAGGATGAAGTTATAGATGAGAGGAAGATGAAAAGGAACCCTTATGCCATAATTTTCCTAGACAGCAGATATGAGGGAAGAAGACGATAACCAAAAATATTTTAAAAAAGGGTTTGAAAGACCAGTGTAGGAGCAGTATTAAGAATGACCTCAAAAGAAAGAAAGAAAGAAAGAAAGAAAGAAAGAAAGAAAGAAAGAAAGAAAAAGAAGGAAGGAAAGAAGGAAAGAAAGAAACAAAAGAAAGAAACAAAAGAAAGAAAGAAAGAAAGAAAGAAAGAAAGAAAGAAAGAAAGGAAGAAAGGAAGGAAGGAAGGAAGGAAGGAAGGAAGGAAGGAAGGAAGGAAGGAAGGAAGGAAGGAAGGAAGAAAGAAAGAAAGAAAGAAAGAAAGAAAGAAAGAAAGAAAGAAAGAAAGAAAGAAAAGAAAGAAAAGAAAGAGAAAGAAAAAAGCCCCGTGTCCTATTTGTGTTGGCCAACTGAGCATGGAGCCTGCCCTGGAGAGTGGTTGATACACCTAAGTGTTTTTGTGTTTTGTTTCAGTTTGAGTTGAGTTGGGTTTTGTTTTGGAGATTTGGGGAGGAGGATACTGATAATTGAACCAAGGGCCTCCCTGCTTGTAAGGCAAGCACTCGACTGGTGAGTTACTGCTGCCCTAGTTTGGGATTTTTTATTTTTTAAGAGAGAAAAACAACACGAAGTTAAACTGGTCTTTGTAAACTTTATCAAGGAATTTGTAACTTATCCTCAAGACAAAAGGAACCTATTAAATACTTTAATCTCAGGACTAGTATGTAGATATAATTCTAAATGGTCTTATTAAATAAGAAACACAGAGCCAAATAAAGAGTTAAAAGCCCAAAGACCAGAGCAGTAGCCAAGAGCTAAGACCACCTTACCTTATCTTACCACTCACTGCTGTCCTTCCCCTGAGAGAGAGACCTTCTTCCTGTGTCCTGTCTTTTTATTGCCTTTCTGTCCTGCCTTCTCATTGGCTGTAAACCCAATCACATGACTTCCTCATCACTGCCTGTCTATACAGACCTCCAGGTCTCTATGGTTTGTACTGAGATTAAAGGTTCGGGATCACCACTTGGCTGTGTCCTTGAACACACAGACTCTGCCTGACATGTGATCGGATTAAGGGCGTGTGCTACCACTATCAGACTTCTGCTTAATGGCTTGCTCTTAGCTCTGATCCCCAGGCAACTTTATTAACATACAAATAAAATCACATTTCAGCACAAATAAAATATCACCATACTAGTATTCTTACATTCACCTCAGTCCTCTTGACCATAATGAACTAGAGGAAACGATGTGGAAGCATGGTGGCTGTTCCTATTGCTACAATCTGTTTGGGAGGCAAAAGTGGCTCCAACCAAGCTATTTTACTAAAACAAAGAAATGTAAACTAATTCAAAGGGTAGTTATGAGGTGGAAGTGTTGAATGTGGGGAAGGGAGACATGGAAAAGTTATGTCTATACTTAACCATGTGTCTGTGTTGTATTAAAAAGTGGTAATGTCCCTTGCTGAAGGACAGAAGAGCAGAGACATAAGTTTGACGGAAGGGTAGAGTTGGGTATAGAGAGGAGGGTCAAAGAGGCTGAGGACACAGGGAAGCGAAGCTTTGCGATTCAACTTGTTTGGGTTGCCTTCGGCTGGGACATCCCATGTTGATAGATGTACAGGAGTCTGAAGGTCAGGGGAAGTGTCTAGGTTGGGAATCAGGAAAGTAGCTTGTTGGGGGAGTACTTGCCAAGCCTATATAAATTCCCAGGTTACATCCCCAACCCCATGAATTGGGAGGGGACGATGTCTGAGAAACAGAGAGGAAGATGAGAAATATGAATACATGCAATGGAAGCTATAAAAATGAATATATATATATATATGAAGCTATAAAAATGTCAGAAATGACAGAAAAAAAGTGTAGCTTAAGTCCATGAAGTTATCAGTAGAGTCAAAATTCAATAAACTATTTTCTCATTGCTTGACTTTATCTCTGAGACCACAACATCAAATTACTTGCACATCATTGGGCACTTCTGATACTTGCTTGTTTTTAATTTTATAAGATTTTGCTAGTTACTTTAATTTTAAATAAAATACAATAACTTTTTTGTTCAGGATATTAAATTATAAAGCAAAATTACATTTGAAAATTCCTGATAATGCACAAAATACTATATATAAGAATATTACCTCAATGAATCAAATAGTCTATTTTTACTTCTTATTAGAAAAAATGGCTCATTCTTTAATATGGTCACAAATGAAATTAGTTTATATTTAGTTGCTTTATTCTGTGTACATATAGATATATATGAGTTTTATCTCCATTATCCAACTTTTTAAAAGACATTAGAAGATTCATATATACATAATGAGGTGCCCTGGGGATAGACCCAAGTCTAAACACAAAATTCATTTGTTTCATCTACATGTTGTGCAAATAGCCT